CTGCAGAAATAATATGACACTAAGGGCGAGGAGGGAAACGCCCCGCGGAGACGTACTCGCCAAAGGACGAGTCTCTTCGGTGTCATTTTCCGAAAAAAAGGCTAATCTGGAAAAGGTCTTAGTACAAGAATTTCAACAAGGAATAAGTATTCACCTGGCCCAAGACAGACAGTTGGTGTGAGAAAATCGCACAGCAGACGCGTATTTCATCTAGGCAAATACAATATAGGTGCCTGCAGACTGCATGATTGAACTTTTCCTGCTTGGGCGCTATAGTCCCAGCAATAGCAAATCGAGGTAAAAGCGGGAGAATCTCCCATGTCTATCATAAAGGCCATTTCTTGCTGGTGGGGTTCGAGGGGGCTGCAGATAGCTTCGTTTACTTTCCAGTGATAAGTAGATTAAGTATTGTTCTGAACTACAGTAGAGTTCTTGCTTTTCGCTGGTATAATTACAAGAGTTATTAGGAGGAAATGCTAAGTGTAGCATCATGACGTGAATAGAAGTGATGGCAACTACCTGGCAGAGGATCAAAGTAATTTGGAATATATTGACATTATTATTTCGCATTGTTGAACAGCAGAGAGTGACTGTAGTCCTTGATCCTGGCTGCGCGAATATTTGACTCAGATAGCGGCACCCTACCCGGAAGACAGCGTTCCGCGTCTGTGAGCAGTTCGAAGTTTCGAGACCAGGACAAAAACACAGAATATCTAGCTCCCACAAGTGAAGATCAAAAGTGGATTAGCTTGAAAATGTGGACTATCCTGTTCGCGGCATAGCTTGTTTTGGCATGACGGTAAGTTACAGGGCCAGGACCTGAGCCCGGTCTCCAGTAGGATTGAAGGGAGGTGGAATAGAACTTTAAAGATAACCCAAATTTATATTTGAGGTTGATATAAAGTTGCATAGGGCATGAATTTGCTTTAGATTGCCCCACTAGTCAAGAAACCTGGGGTTGCTTGTTCAATGAAAGAGTCGCTGTCCCCAAGGTCCTCACCCCCAAGGTCCTCATCAGAGAACCTGAGGTGATTTGACGGGGTTAAGCTTAACAAGTGGGGCGTAGAAGTATAAAAATATCTCCTCAAGGTGCATTCTAGCCTTATTCTGACCCTCCAGACTTATTTTTGTTCATATTGTATAGGCGTCTGAAGAGTTAGAGTAACCTCTCGATAGTATGCTGCTTGACATTTAAAGTTAGCACCGTTACTGCTGCTACCATAAAACCTCAGCCACCATACCTGTAATAAACAACTAGTGCTCCAAGCAAGCCCTAACTAGGGCTCTGGAACCCTACGTGACATCATTATAACTCGTCGTCCTAGCACGGGTTCACTGCGCCGCTCAGGCAGCAGTCCCATAACACCCAGCTGAATTTTTTTTTTTTTTTTTGGTAAGAGGCCCAGTTGGCTATCGCCGCCCACGGTGTGGGTTTCTTTCTTTTTCCCTAGCTCTTTTTCCTCCTCTGGATTATGTCTCCTAAACTGATGCTTTCGTCCACTACACTCCTTGGCCCTGAAGTCCAACATTGACGGTCGACAGCCTGATCTCAGCCAGGGTCTAGCCAGTAATCCCATAAAGGCCATGGCTCACCAATTATCTTCTTAGTACGAGACACGTTCTTCCCCATTCATGGCACTTTCTTGGAAGACAAACTATCCAGCTTGGCAGATAAGCCATTCAGTTGCCTGGGGTCGACCGAAAGTTTGCATAATGCGAATGCGGCATAGCTAAAAACTGCCCCACTCCCCAGCTTACCCCTTACAATTCGTATATATTGCAAACCTTTTCCTCGCTTCTACTATTGACACCTCATCGTTATAGTATCTCTTGTGAATACCCAATTTTTGGTTCGCATTACTTTGTTTAAAGATCAAAATGGGCAAGGACTGCTGCCACTCGGAGTCTGTCCATGACGAAGAACTCCCTGCTCGCCATAGTTCTACAAATGCTGCTCAGAACGAGCTCTGCACTGAAGGCACCAAGTGTGATGGTAAGAGTTTACGACACGCAGTCCCACGGGTACTCCCTTGACATTGTTATTTTCTTCTTAGATGCGTGCATTCAGGCGGCTGCATTGTATGAATGCCGGCAAGAACCCCATCCTGATATAGTCGGAAATTCGGGTGGATGCAAAGCACCCACTTGTTCGGAAGCTGGTCTTCATGACGATGCCGGTAGGTGTATGCCGGCCGATGACATGTTCATGAAGCTAACTATAAGGATTTATGGCGCAGCCGGCGAGCCTTGCTACGGACGTACTCTACCCGCCATCGAGGGATCTATAGCGCAGGGAGTCCCAACGGTTCAGGGCCGCTGTGGGTCCAGTGAGGACTCTGGATCCCTTAAGGTTCGTATTTCTACTATCTCACCTATCTATTCACGAGATTCAATCGCTGATCGCGGCAGATACACGATCACCGCCCTCCCTCCCTTGCCGAGCGATTCGGGGAAGCCTGTTCTTTTCATCTCGAGAACGCATTCCGCAAATATGCCGCTTATATCGAAACCGGTCGCTGTATCTGCCGCAGTGTACTTTCTCAAGCTCCACCAGCCTGCGGCAATGAATGTGACCCAACCACGAAGATACCTAAGGTTCCAGGGCCCTGTCTGGCTTCTGCAAAGAGTAGTGCTGTTGCACCCCCGGACTCGGCGAGGAAACGCGCGTGCTGTACGGGTGCAGGTAGACGGGAGGCTGTGCGTGCAGACGATGGCCCTCATTGTACGAATGACTTGCTCGCATCCGCTACTCCGTGTTCCACGGCCTTCTTGGCGAGCGATCAAATAATTGGCGACGTGGAGAAAGCTAACGCCCGAGAAAACGTTCGCTTGCGCATCCTTGGTATGACCTGCACCGGCTGCGCGGGGAAAGCCGCGAAAACCCTCAGACAGATCGACGGCGTCACTCGTGCTGAAGTAACATTTATTTCCTCCACTGGAGACATCGATATTAATCCACAGGTAGTCTCCGCCGAGACTATTATGCAAAAAATAGAGCAGTACACGGGCTTCAAAGCATCTCGCGTCATTCAGGATAACCAGTGTTTGGATGTCATCTTGCCTGCTGTTACTATGAAGCAGTTCCAAGACGATCTGCCACTGGGCATTTGCGAAGTATCCAAGAATCAAGGTTCGTATCGCGTCTCCTTCGACCCTAATATTATTGGAGCTCGTGCAGTGCTTGCAGCGACCGGGGGTGGCGAGCTTGCGCCGCCTAGCGGTGATGGTGCTCTTGCTGAAAGCAAAAAGCATCTTTGGGACATGCTCTGGTCGACCCTTATAGCGGCTGTGCTTACCATTCCGGTCTTGGTACTTGCTTGGGGAGATGTTGATATCTCATATAGTGCCAAGTCGGTTACATCTCTTGTTTTTGCAACCTTTGTGCAGGCTCTTGCAGTCCGAGAGTTCTATATCCGCGCACTCAAGTCCTTGATCTTTAGCCGCGTTATCGAGATGGACATGCTGATTGTCATCAGCATCAGTGCTGCATTCATCTACTCGGTAGTGGCCTTTGGGCTTACGCATGCCGGTTACGACCTCGAAATTACTGAATTTTTTGAAACCAGCACGTTGCTGATCACGCTTGTCCTCTTCGGGCGACTTATGGCGGCGTTTGCCAAAGCAAAGGCTGTTTCTGCGGTCTCTATGCGGTCTCTTCAATCTCGAACGGCACTCTGCGTTGATCCCCGGACTGGTGAGGTTTCTGAAATTGACGCCCGCCTGTTGGAGCTTGGCGACAAGGTCCTTGTTCGGCCTCACTCGAATGTTGTCACAGATGGAATCGTTGTGGACGGTGAAGGGGAAGTCGACGAGTCGATGCTTACCGGAGAGACTCTGGCAGTCGCCAAACGCACTGGTGATTCTGTGATCGCGGGAACAGTCAACGGCCCGAGTCCCCTGACCATCAGCATCACTCGACTCCCAGGCAAGAATAGCATTAGTGATATTGCTAACCTGGTCGAGAACGCCCTTGCTGCTAAGCCACGTGTTCAGGACCTAGCAGACAAGGTTGCCAGCTGGTTTGTCCCGGTTGTTGTGAGCATCTCGGCTATTGTGTTGATAGTTTGGCTCGTCGTCGCTCTGAAAATCCGCGGTCGGGATGCAGGTGGTTCAATTGGTATGGCAATTAGTTACTGCATAGCCGTGTTGGCTGTTTCTTGCCCGTGTGCACTTGGCCTGGCAGTTCCAATGGTCCTTGTTATCGCTGGCGGAGTCGCTGCTCAGGCTGGTGTTATTATAAGGCAGGCCGATGCGATCGAGCGGAGCTACAAGGTCCGCGACGTGATTTTCGACAAGACCGGCACTCTGACCACAGGTGACATGGAAGTCGCAGAGGAGCGATTTTTCCCCGCGAAGCTCTCTGAGAAGGAGGTTCAATCTCTCGTGTACGGGCTTGTCAAAGATGCCGATCATCCTGTCTCCAGGGCCGTGGCAAATTACCTGCAAAGGAGCACAACCAACCCCGCTGGTGATATCGACAGCGTGAAAAGCATTCCTGGTTGCGGTATCCAAGCTTCATGGCGGGCCTCGACGGTCCTTGCAGGTAACCCTTACTGGCTCAACATCGAGAGAGAACCCAAGGTTGCGGTTCTCATTCAGCGAGGCCTCACACTCTTATGTGTCACGCTCGACTCGCAACCTATTGCCGCTTTCGGACTAAGCAGCATCATCCGCCCTGAGGCAAACACGGTAGTCGACATCATGCACCGCAGGGGTATCACTTGCCACATTGTCAGCGGAGACGGGGCCCTAGCGGTTGCCCAGGTCGCCCAATCCGTCAATATTCCACTTGAAAACGTCATGTCGCGACATTCTCCCTCTCAAAAGCAAGAGTATGTCAAAAGACTCATGGATGAAGGAAAGGCAGTCTTATTTTGCGGTGATGGAACAAACGACGCCGTCGCTGTTGCGCAGGCCAATGTTGGAGTCCAAATTGGGTCGACCTCCGATATCACTCGGGGCACAGCCGATGTTGTGCTGATGGGAGGCCTTGAGGGCATCCTAATCCTTCTGGACGGTTCAAAGAGAGCGTTTCACCGCATATTCTTTAACTTTGTCTGGTCCGCTATTTACAACATCTTTGCCATCCTGCTTGCGTCTGGGGCCTTTGTTAGGGTCAGGATTCCGCCGGCGTATGCGGGGGTGGGCGAGATTGTGAGTGTCTTGCCAGTCATCTTTGCGTCGTTAACTTTGGCAATTGGTAACTCCGCTCGGAAGGCGTAGTTTTATAGCTGCAGTCGCAGCCAACATTACCTAACAGGATTCAACATCCTGTTTTCTGGACTCGGTGGAATGTGTTTAGTTGTGGCACAGTATATTTCAATTATGGCTCAGTAGTTGATTTGTTTGAATGTTAGAGTTGAGCACTGCTCACATACCTGAGCATCCTTCAAGGACTGGGGCAACAAGGTAGTATATGGGCGACTTTCGATATACAACATGGCGATGGCGATCACGGACGAAGGATGAAATCTACAGTCATTCGGGAGTCCGCGACGATATGAAGCGAGACTAGCTTGTGAAAGCAATCAACAGGAGGCCCCCTTTATTTCTAATTATTCTGTGAGAGTAGCAGAGCAATATTTTGAAACAGTTGAATCCCAGTTGCTATTCACGAGTTGAAAGAAAAAAAAATCAAGCAGACTTGGTCAAATTAGAATACAGCTAGTTGGTTTATCCAGCCATCGAATCGTAATCTTATTACGTCGCCCAAATTGGTTGACCCATCTGCTTCCACCATTACCTGATCCAAGTCTCTGAGAATCCGCTCTATACATTCACCAGCACCACTGAGTTTTAGAATATAAGAGATGGCGCGATGGATACCTAGAAGTCGAGGAGACGGCGTATTTATCATATCGTTAGGGCTTCGTTGTAGGACGCGAGTGACAGGGAAGTATGGGTCGCTTAGAACCCCGCCCTCGACGGAACAAATTATATATTCATGAGGCCTGCCGGTGGGCTTGAAATATATCGGAATTCGCCAAACAGACGGTGGTTCTCCAGTGTTAGTGTGAGAGCATTCGATGGGTTGTCGATATTCGGCCCGTCAATAAGATGGGTGATTCCAGGGTCGAACACATCTAAAATCTGGAGTATGTTTTTATTTGAATCGGGCTGAAAGTCAGTCAGTAAAATCGTACAAGCATCCGTGTTTGTTCGTACTATATCCCCATCCCCCGAGGCAACCTTCGGTAGGCAATGAGGCAGTATATGGGCGACTTCCAGGTACTGGAAGTTGCCAGGTGGTTCCTCAAGGAGCTTTCCGTCGTCATCCTTAGAGTTTTCGTCCCTGGTAAGACGCCTTCTAGCCTCCGCTATACCAAAATTTCGATTCACAACGCATTGGTGGCGATCACAGACGAGGCAGTTATGTCTCAGGAGAGATATACGTTGTGTTATGCCAGTGGGGGTCGACGGGAGTATTGTTGATAACGAGGTAGGTGTTGTTTGCGGGGTTTTGACGGACGACGCTCTAACTAGATTGTTTGAGTAAGAAGTTGACTGGTACTATGGAACATCAAGAACGCACGCGGAAGAAAGAACAGCGTCGCCATGTAGTTGGCAAAACCTTCAAGAGCATGCATTTGTTCGGCATCTTGTATTCATACTAGGATCGATCAAAGATTCGAGTAATGTACATAAAAATAAAATACCGCATAATTACAGCCGCCCTCATTTTAAGGCGGTTCGCTCAATAAAAGAATCGCGCTAAGTTCTTGGCAGTGGGACCAACAAACAATTGACAAGTGTTTGAAGGTCAGACCGATTTCGAGAATCACTGTAGTACAGCGACTATATCGCACGGGAGCGTCACTGTACCGCCAGGGGAGCGCGAAGGCACGAGCGAACTGGATATCTTTAACTATATAAGCTCTGTTAAACGAGAATATCTGGATTTGTGCTATCATTGTGGTGTGCCGAGCAGGAGGCACCAATGGCGGCCCCACCAGCAGGAGGGCCCGAGCCCTATCCCATAAACACCCAAGAAACTTACGCAAGTGACTTATTAGAGGACTTCCAGGCCTGAATAGCAATTAATACAACCCAAATTATTAGAAGAAGAACGCAGAATGGTAAAACCCACCCTACTATAGAAGGTACCAGCCAAATTACTACTAGAAAGGTGTGGAAGCTTATTTATAAGCTTAAAGATATTATTAACCACTAAACCACACTTATTAAATCCACTAGATCCAAGCTAGAGGAAGTTAAACACAACTAGAATGTCCTACGCGAATAGAATAAAAAGCTTTATAAGGAAGTTATAGCCCTGTAAACTTAGATTAAAACCACTTTACTAGTATCCCTAACTAGATTATAGGCCATAGTTATAGCTAGTAGCAGTAATAGGGCCCTATAATTAAACTACTAATAACCTAAGAAAGAGTAGAACTGTGTCTGAATTAGCACCTAGAGGATATTTATTAATCCAAGAGATAATAATAACTATAATAGAAACACCTTTAGCTAATACCTCCCTATAGATACTGCTAATAACCATATCCATACAGCCCTCCTAAACACTGCCTTAATACAAGATACCTAGGTGGCTGGGATTAGCATGACAAAGACTGGCTATATTATTTAATTTCAGGATTATAAGTTAGTAGAAGCTGCCCGCAATAATACTAAATAGCTAAATAAACTTAGAAACAGCATAAAACTAGTAAAGCCTTAGTTTAGCATTATTATACACCGCATGCTAACTAAGGAGTTTAACTTAGAAACTATAAGCACCTAGGTAATAGAGAAAATTATAAAGAAAAATAACTTAGTAAAAAGTAGTTTCTATATTAAAGAATTAGCCTGGTTAAAACAGAAGGACAAGGCACTAGGGAAGTTTATATTCTTAAGAATCTGGTTTAACTCTCTAGAGGGAGCAGAGCACCTGCTTAATAACAGCCTCCTTATTAGTTAGTGCTATATTAGAAGTGTTAAAAGATAAGAGATTAAAAGAAAGAGATGCTTCTAGTGCTAATGTTTTGGACACCTAGCATAGTTATATAAGGAAGTCCCACACTACAGACACTGCGCGGGGCAGTATAAGTAATAGTAATGCCTGCCAGGGGTTAGGGCTTGATGCCTTAACTACACTAGGGAATACCTAACTGGTAATTAATAATACCTAACCCCTGTGACTTCTAACTCTAACTAATATTAGAAAGGAACCTCTGCGTACTACAGCTAAACATAATAAAATTAGGACCATAAATAGAAGTATTTATTAATAACCACTAGACCCAAGACCTTAACATCCTCCTGATCCAGGAGCTATCCATTACCACCTACCAAATATATATTAACTACAGTACCTGGCAATTATACTAGCCTACTACTAACACTAACATAACTTGGTTCTGTAGTCTAGCCTATGTGAATTAAAGACTCTTAACCTTGTTATACCACCAGGTGTACTATAACCACCCAGATATTACAGCTATTAAGATCTAGATAGCTAACTCCTAAACCCTTGTCTTTTCTATCTATATACTATCAGCGCCAATATACACTAGTAATAATAGATCTATAGAACTAGTACTTACAGCAATTTAAAACATAATCACAACCACCATATATAAAGATTAACAGACAATGAACATTATTCTCTCTGGAGATTTCAACCACCACCACCCTATATAGAGTAGTAATAATATTTAACCTTGCTTTATTAAGGATGCAAGCAACCTGATCACCTTCTTCCAAGCCAATAGCCTCCAGAGCTGCCTCCCACGGGGAATAGCGACCTTCTGGCCCCTTAACAACCCTAGAAAGTTCTCTACCATTAACTAAACAGTCACCAACTGGCCAGATCTACTTATTAAATATTACCTATACTATAAAAATTACAGATCCAACCACCGCGCCATGTACTTAGAATGGCAATTGCAAGCATAGGTCAGGGCACCTACTAAACCAAGGAAAGCATATAATTATATAGAATAGAATAAAATTAGTAAGGATATAAACTAATAAATAGACCTATAAAAGGATATAAAGACCTGACCTATACTTAACACGGTTGTCTAAAAGCTTATTAAAGCTATGAGCCAGGTGGTTAACTATTTCATGCTAGACACATAGCTAACTCTATACTCTAAATAATAGTTTATACTAGACCTTAAAGTCTAACAAGTTAAAGTTAACTAAACCTAATAGAGATGGCAGGCAAGCTATGCCAAGCTAGGCTAAGGTTACCCTTACTCCACAGCCACATTTTAGGATATGTAACACAAGTAACAAGCATAGACTTAGACTATTAAAAAAGTAAAAGCTTTATACTAGCAAAGATTTCTAGATAAGGCTGGCAAGGGAAAACTCTAGAAAGCAGCCACCTATATAAAACTATAAGAGTTATAGGGATGCGTCCTAATACTATAGACTAGCGCAGAGGAGTATACTAAGAATAAAAACAAAGCACAGGTGTTTTTAAATACTTTTTTCCCTGTAATAAACGCGCTGGATCCTAGTAATCTAACCATACTATAGCTAGAACTTCCCTGGTAACTAATTACTAAACTTAAGATTTAATAATCCCTTAACATAGCCAACAGGACTATAGTACTAGGAGAAGACAACCTACTAATACTAGTTTAGAAAAAGCTCTAGATATACCTAAAAATACTTATTACTAATATCTTTACTATATCTATAAATCTAGGCTACCACCTAAAATAATAGTAAAGTGCTAAGATAGTTATATTATAAAAGCTAGGAAAGTCTGATTATACTAACCCTAGATCCTACTACCTAATCTTACTTCTAAACACACTTAGTAAATTACTAGAGGCAGTTATGGCTTGATAGCTATTATACCTAGTAGAAAAGTATGGTTTACTGCCAAACAGCTAGTTTAGGGGCTGCCCAGGTTAAACCACCAAGCAGGCTTTGCTGGTACTCTTAAACACAGTTAACCAAGCCTGGTACAAACATCACGTCGTGACCCTTATATTATTTAACCTAAAAGGCGCGTTTAACAGTGTTAACTAGAGGAGCCTGAATGCCTGCCTGCGGGCAAGGAGGATCCCCTTAGTTACAAGGAAGTAGATCGCGAGTTTTATAAGTGACCACTATGCAAGCATTGGGTTTAATAACTTTTAAACTATAATAGAACTACTAGTAAACATAGAACTAGCACAGGGATTACTACTCTCCCTAATTTTATTTATATTCTTTAACATGGACCTAGTTAAACAACCAGTTAATATTTATAGGGGCGTGTTAGCCTTTATTAATAACTACTTTTAATAGCAAGTAGGCTGCTCCGCCAAGGAAAACCTAGCCCAGATATAATTAGAAGACATTCCTTAAATTAAGGCTTAGGCGTGGAAGACTGGGTCCTGCTTTACAGCCAAGAAAACTAAGCTTATTTACTTTACCAGGAAAAAGCATAAACACCAGGAGGGATTAATAGTACTAAATAGCATAGTAGCCTAACTATTAGCTATAGTAAAGCTGCTGGGAGTGGTGTTTAACCAGGAGCTATAGTAGAAGGAGCATGTCTAACAGGCTATTAAACAAGCAACCAAAACAACCATCACCCTGTATAGACTATAATATCTACACCCTAAACAAATGCATTAACTCTACCAAGCATGTGTGGCGCCAGTTATAGACTATGCATTAACCATCTGGCACGACCCACTGCGCGACAAAACCCATCTACAACACTTAAATACTATATAGAGGACCCTATTAATCCACATTCTC